GGTGGCTGCCTCAACCCTGGTGGTGTTCAGGGCCAGGCTGGATGAGCCTTGAGCAACTTGATCTAGTGAGGAGGTGTCCCTGCCCAGGGCAGGAGGTTGGGACTGGATGATCTGTAAGGTCCATTCCAGCTCCTAAATTCTATGATTCTATAATATTCTTCCTTAAGACTAACAGATACTAAATAGCTCTGCAGTTTAAAAATACTTCTTCTTTGACCTCTCTTGGCCATGTAGGAGTAAGAATATAAATTATAAGAGACAATAATGTAATAAATAAATAATACTTGTATCATTAATGTAATATTCCAGCAGCTGTAACAGAGCAACTGCTCTGCACCATTTAGCAATGCACCTAACAGAAAAAGATGAATATCCACCCATTAATGATCAGAGCATTTGTATAGTTAAAAGAAAAATCTAAGCAACCAGACACTAATCCTAAAGGAATCTGAAAAAGAAGTACAAATAGCATATTAATGAAGTAGTTTCTCACACTCACTTTATTTTTCACTACACGTACTATTTATTTCTTGCTATCCTTAAAGTAAATGAGCAATGGACCAATAAGATACTTTCATACAACCACTTTCTTCACACATTCAAGATGCTAAATCACCCATATTATAAGTGCTACTGAGAGTTATTTAGCCCTAACATGTTTTTTCCTACCAGCCACATGTGATAACTACCTTCAAACACCTAAACCAGTAATTTCAACTGTAAAACTTGACCTAACCCCAAAAATACCAGGAATTACTCCAGAAAAGGGAATCATGCTGGGCTTCCACCACCTAGAGGACTCTGTGCTTTTGTACTGATTATCTTTGTCTAACACTCGCTTGTAACGAATATTCCATCTCATGTTAGATCATGACTGTTTTAACACTATAAGGAAATAATGCAGAGCACAATCTAACCTCCTTGTCTGTTGTCTGAACTCCATTTGTCGTTCCATGTATTTGCCATACATTGCAGCTCACTTGCCAACCTACCTGTTGTAAAGTCTTTTCACAGTGAAGACAAGCTGTTGACACCTGTGACAGGAGGATGGTCATGTCTTCTTGCTGCTGCCTAAGCCAAATCAACTTCTCTCTCACATGAGCATCAACCACACTGAGAGCCATTTCCTCCTGGCGACAAAGGGTTTCATGCAGGTCAGAAAAGTAGGCTCTGACGCAGGAGCGAGCGTTCTCTGCAGTTCCTGGTACCTAGTGTTGCAGGCAGAAGATTAAGGACAACAGTTGATTCCAGAAGTATAGCTCAAATTGTATTTCAGGTTCTAACTTGTGTTCCTATCTGCTTGGCTACATCACAGTTCCAAGTCCCAGTTAGGGCTGATAAGACACTCTGTATAAGGCCAAGGTCCTCCAAGTTACTCCTATAACCAAGTAGGTGATTTGTATGTGTACAAACCTTTATAAAAAGCCTCAGTACTGTCACAGCACCTGAGAACATCTGCAATCTGTCACAGCACTTCAATACTAGCAGTTACACCACTTTTCCCACTGCCTCCCTATTTTCATGTAGCCTAAAAACACTGTCACAGACTACCAGTTCCCCTCCATCTGCTGACTTAAGCCCCAATATTGACTTGGTAGAGGTAAGAACTTAAGGTTTTGTCCTATAAAATCTATGCATAACTTTCAAATAAATTCCTTATCTTGGCTGTTACGACGAGCAAATAT